ATTAACATCAATATTAAGTAATTTCTGTACCACATTTAATTTATATACCAAGTAAACAACACATACCAACAACTCGATGATACTGCCGACGGGCTGAAAACCAACTTCAGGGCGCGGCATCAGTGGTCCGATAAATAAACGAGTAATACGCCGATGCCACTCCATGTAGGGATCAGTGGCATCCATCATGTCGAGTGTAGGCTCGCCGTGAACAATAGAATCCCGCCGTTGATCCTACATGCTGATGTATCTCTGATGTGCGATAATCCAGTCATAATCATATCTGCCACACCTATTTGTGGCATGTAGCTCTCAACTAGAATCACATGGCATTGGTACAGGCTGCCTGCATCCAAACTTTTGCAAAACATAGTCTAAAAAATGCCACTTTACCACATTAAAATATATGAGCGGGGCCTAGGTAGTCCATAAATCCCAACCATGCAAACAATAATCAGGTATGGTGCCCAGCACATTAGCAGTGAATGACTGTCATATCATCTGCAGTACAAAAATAACGATTTTTGTTAGATGTACGAAAAAGTTAAAAATTTCGGCAGAGTTTCCCCTATATGTATGACGTATTCTCCTCTTTTACAATAACAAATGCAATGGGGAACAATTGCTTATTAGAACATCTCAAATAGATGCTTCAAATGAGTAAAATAGCTAAAATTTAGCTAACCAAAGCCAAAATCATACTCCAACAGATTATGTTCACATATTGTAAAATAGATTTTTGCTACAATGATACTCTAAATATAGAGTATCACTGTAGCAACTTGTAAAGATAATTTATATTATTTTCTCTCTCTTCCTCTCCTTTCTTTCATTCTCTCTTTTTCTCCCTTTCATTATTCCCAAAAAATATAATACACAAGGAATGAGAAATAATATTTAAAAGGAGTAGTTAAAAATATAAAAAATTTGTTGGAGTGTGTATTGAAAAGGTGAGTAGCTAAAATAGAAAATGTTACTTTTTGAGTAGGTAAAATGTATTTTGTTGTTGGAGATGTTCTTAGAATCAAAAGCAGTAACAGTTTTTCCTTGTACTTTCCAAACAGAAATGTCGCATCAATATTGACAACATGTTGAAAATATTTAAACCCTTTAATGTTGGTCTTGAATGCCCAAAATACTATTAAAAAAATATTATATTCAGGAGATTCAAATTTGTACCGCCACTTCACAATCGGGCTAGGGTTATACTTCTTGATGGCACCTAAAAACTTTGGTAACAAGTCATATAACGAGTCCAAATCACCGAAAATCTTAGCAATAACTTTGTTCCTCGCAATTCATGTTTTCTTATAGGAAATATCATACTTGAATTTCTCCTTTATATTATTCTGAATTGTCGACATTTGGTTTGTGGTGTATCACCTACGAGTCCCACTATATTATGACAAATGAAGTCAGAGTCTAACTACCGATGGTCACCACTCATCCTAGGGTAGAAGCAGGTATGGGAGTCCATATTTCATGATCTGAAATATTTTTGATTTTTTCTTAAAACAAGCATACAATCTCCATGTGCAGTTAGACTGCATGTACATGATGAACTATATAGCCCACACCGTTGTGTTCGTCTCAACCACGATAAAATCCTGATTCAACTTGATTGAATAAAATTTAATAGCCCTAATCAATGAAGCTTTATCTTGAAAAACCATACCTTTCGCCAACTCCATCTTTACCGGATCCCACAAATTCTGTTCAGCTGACGGTACTAAGTTATTTGCTTTAGTATGCTGACCAAATTCAGTGGTTGTGAATGAGGTAAAGTAAGGCTTATGCATCTCCACCACCTGAGCAGCCTCAAAATCTTCGTCATTCTCATCTTCGTCATCTGGCTCATCAATCATTACTTCCTCAAACTCTTCTTCTTTGTCATCATCATCAGAGATATCTATACGATCATTGGCACACATTTCTTCATATTCCCGGATAAGCTTTTTGTTGAATTTTTAGTTGATGGACATCATTTTTTTCACCCAACTCAATTCCTGCCTCACCCATTTCAAAATTCTGACTCAATGAATTGTTTAGCTAAGTTCCCACCGTATGTCGTTTTTCTAGTTCTTTGTTGGGTGTAAAAATATTACCCAGACTCATCCATTACCTTCATCCCCATGGGAGTTGAACATTCACTCGTCACACCGGAAGTTGAAAATGTCAACGGACCTATCTCTCGAGTAAGCAACTCATTTTAAGACATGACAGTTGTTGTTATGTACCCTCCGGTCTGACTACTGCCTATGCCAGCATTGATGTCTTCCGTCTCCACGTACAAAACAACACTAGCAATGTTGGGGTTGTCAAGTACCACATTAACCACAGAAGTCACTAGTTAATTGTTGACAATTTTCAAACTGACATATGTATTCATTTGGTCCTATTCCAAGTGTAATAAGATATCCACAAGTCAACTTCAACTTGTTATGCGCCCTGTCCAACCCCATTACAGTGTAAATTTTACTCAACAACTTCGGTAGTTGTGTACCACTATTGATAACAATACCACCTTTGGTAGGAAAACTGTATAATAAACCCTGTGAGCCATAATTCATTCGTCCACCCCAATATAGCAAAATGGTAATTTGTTTTCCTGCCGTTTCAATTAGTTTCGGTTGTAGAATAAGTTCTGAATTCAAAAGAACTTGGGAATAGATAGAAATGATTAATACTTGAAGAATAATAGATCAACAATTAATCAAAGTCTCATGTGAATCTACCGCATGCAACCTAGAAGAATTTATCAATTAAAAAACCTACAAGGATGAAGTGTACTTGTATGTTATTAAGAAAGATGAAGATACAACTTTTATATGGAAATTTGAAAAAATAATTCCCAAAAGAAGGTATCTCCTAGCATGTTATCATGTATTGAATCAGAAGTGAAACATGTTATCAAGAAGGCAAACAATGTAGGTGATTTTTTTTTTGGCTAACAAGGCAGTAATTGAATTACATTTACAACTCTATCATAATTATCAAAACTATCCAACTCAAGGATGACAATACTGAAGTAAATTGTTTGATTCAAAATCAACATGCTTATTTTGAAGTAAATGTGGTGTTTGATGCCTAAGATAAATAACTACTGAAGTTCAATTAAAATTGAGAGAGACATACATGGAATATAGAAAATATGAATTTTTTTTATTCTTTTAAATTATAATTTTAGCTTCGTACTGATGTTGAATTACAAAGGGCTTACTTCAAATGTAGAAACAAATATCAACGCTTTGAAAGCGTTGTTGGTTTTCAAGTAACATGTAGAGAACTTACAAACTTCAAGAGATTTGAGTGTAATTTACTAACGAATATACTAACAGATATTGACGACAAGAGTGTAAGTGTTAAACGTGTATTAACCTTAGAAAGTCTTTGTATAATATTTCAAATGTCAGGAAGTCTGAAGAATTAAGTGACAACCTCAAAGGGTTTGGCTTTAATTCTCCCTATAAAATAATAATGTTTATAGTTGAGGCCCAATCACACTTAACCTATTGGAAAGAGTAGCCATGCCTTAGGAGTGTAGATGATAGATTATGAGTTGCTATTGTGATCCTTTAAGCTTTTGTTGGTCGGATTGGAAAAAGTATGACTTAATCATTCATAGTTTATTAGTCCTTACGAGGATATTAGCTAACTCAATTTAAATTTAAAAAAATTTAATTTATTAAAAGGCCATCAAATTCGAAAAAGAAAAATCAAAATACATAATTATCAAGTTAATCAAAATAATTGGAAATAATATATGAAAAAACAACTACATAATTTTGTTATGCCTGGTATGTTCTAAGACATGAATAGTATTATGGTTAATATAATGAATCTCATATTAGTATAAAACTAAAAAAAAAATAAAATTTGACTTCATTGAACTTCCGTCTATAAAAAAAATTAGTGGCCCGAAAAAAAAAATTGACTTGGTTGAACATTGATCTAAAAGTTTTATTTGGGACCTTGAAAACAAATGACTTCAGTAGCTTCATAGTAGCCAAGCTAATTGGATGAGATGTATACTCTGAAATGAAATAGCCCAACTTTATATTATATATTCCTCAAGTTAGTACTTGCATTGCATCTGCGAAGAGCTCTATAAAAGGACCAATGGGAAAGCATAAGCGGAGAGAGAGAGAGAGAGGGAGGGAGGGCCCCGGAAGGGGGGGAGGGGGGTGTTGGAGTCGGTGATCCTAGTGGGTTCCTGCTAAAGGCTACAATTAAATTACAAAACAAAAAAAAAATTAATAAACTAACAGATATTTACAACAAATAAAATAAAATAAAATGATTATTTACCAGATAATTACAACAAACAAATAAAATTATTATTTAACAGATCATTACAACATATAAATAAAATTAAATTTAAAATTAATTAAAGCTAATGGAGTACACTAACCTACTGTCAATGGTGGAAGAGCAGCGCAGCAGCAATGGTGGATCAGAGGTGGTGGCTGGTGGTCGCTCGTGGTTTACCTGAGTTATTTTAGGGCTAAGGGGGGAGATGGGTTGCAGCTAAGAGGGGAACCGGGTTGCAATTTGGCTGGTGCAGCTAAGGGGGGAAATTGGTTCGCCTGACTGGTTTTGGGGGAAGAAGGGAATCGGGTTTGTTAGGGCTCAGATAATTTAGCGGAAATAAGGGAGAATGGAAAGACGAGGGAAAAAGAAGAGCATCAGAGTTTGTGTAATTTAAAAACGTCAGTCCGTTTGATGTGTTTAACAAAAATGTCAATTGAACTGACATTTTTAACTTGCAGAGGAACCACAGATTGAAAGTTAAAAACGTCAATTGGTCTGACGTCTTTTGGTTTAAAAACGTTAAATCAATTGTCGTTTTTAAAAGTACCTGATTTTTGAAATTATTTTCAAACCAACTCTTATTTGGGAATTTTTCTTCAAAAACACTTGGGATGGTTCAAAAGCTCCCCAACCTGCAGACATATATTTTTTTTTCAATGCTACTTCAGGCCACCCATAGGAAATTTTACTTTGATATTAAACGGAAGTGAAGAAGACAACTGGACATGCTCATAGAAGACGATCACATCCATTCCATTAGAAGACAATTTTGGGACAAAACAGGAACATAAAAGAGTATTCTAAGTTGAAATCCCATCAGCAGACATTCTAACTGATCAACTGAAATAAGGGCGGCAACTTCAGTCATTTTGAAATAGAAATCTAACAAGTTCTAAACACTATATGCTCTGCTTGATTTATCTCCTGTCCAACTTCAGAACCTAGATTTAAACTCTAGCCCTCTTGTTACTGCAACTGGGGCACTTGTACTGCTTGATATGCTCAGCCTTGGCAGGTGTAATCTTTACGCATTTGCCATGGAACCATCTCTCGCACACATCACAGCAAATCCAGAATTCATCATGCGCATAGTTATCCCCGCAAGCCCCACATAGCGTTGCTCCCTGTTCATCGTCTTCTTCTTCCTCCTCGCCATTCTCATCCTCTTCTTTAGGTGGTAGAGACAGCTTTACTGCCTTTGGCTGGGAGTCAGGCTGTCGAGACTGCTGAAAGGAAGCATGGAAACAGCAAAAGTTAAGACAGAGACCAAATGAGAAAACAAACAAGTAGAAGAAAACATGAAAAGTTCATGTCAAGTTGTACTGCTCACCGTCTTCCCACTTGATTTGCTTTTGTTGCTATTGTTGTGCATGGTGGACTGGTCCTTTGACTGCTTCACATTTCCTGTCACTAATTCAAATATGGGTGGGAGATCATTGATCATCTGGAAAAGCCTCTTCCTGTATTTTCCAGTGCCAAATAAAGTTAAATTCAACTTGACTATAAGAAAATGAGGCAACGAAAAGCTATAAACAAATAAACTTGAGTATGGAAGATCCTTTTCTGAGATATTATAAACAAAACATATGACCGATTTTGTCATATTATTCCCTTGGCAATTCTAGTGTGCTTGACCTTGAGTTCCTTCAAGGCATGAAGGGCTCCTTCAAATTCTATACCTTAAAGGATATTTCACAGTTGCACTGCACAATTTGCTTCAACGTTGATTTTGGTTTGCAGAAGGTGAATCCACAAGGCAATGAACACGTGCTGACAGAAAGTCGTAATTTACTATTAAGCTAGGTGAGTGAGGCACACAGATTGGACAATGCTCACTCAAAAAACAAGATGACTTTGAAATCCAATAAAAAAACCAATTCTTCACGCATATACAAGGCCAACATTTAATTGTCGTGGGCTGCTACTGTATCTGATAGTGATCCGAATGCTGTTCATTAAACATTGACTCTGTCAGCCATCTTATTTACCCAAACGAAGAATAAATATCACGAATGACAACAAAAAAACTACTGATAAATAAAATAAATCTCACACTTTTAAGACAGTGTGCATTAAAGAAGGTCACAAACATTCTTTTTAAAACCTAAAACTATTTGTGAAATGGTACGAGTAGGGTCCAGTAAATTCTAGTCAAAGTATAGAAAACTAAGAGCTTCAAACATATTTTATGTGGAGATGCTCAGTTGTTCATAAGCAGTGGTAACCAATGTGCTACAAATTCAAGAAACCATATATTGTTGCAGTGAAAAACTACAGGAACTAGCTTAATTTTCATTAGCACAATGTTAGCTCAAGATTATAATGTGTAACCATATCTCTAACCAACCCATCGACTTCTACTTTATTCCATTTACTTTGTCCTAAATCCGTACAAAAAGTAATCTTCCCCACTTTTTTCACCGTTGTTCTTTATTACCTAGATATAAATTCTTTTACGCATGATGACACACTACAAGTACAATAAAGTATGTTCCCAAATACTTAGTCTGGAATCATATTCTGTCCTATGGTTTCAAAATCTTGTCCCCCTGAACCGTTCAAAAGAGCTAAGGCACATTCATAATACTCCTAGTTTGAAACTAAATAACAGTTGTGAAACAAACAAAAACTAAATGGTTGTTGAAACACATGAACAACTTGACAATGCGCACTAGAATAAAAAAAGTGACGTTTAGATGGCACTATTCAAAAGTCTAACTACAATGGCTCTCCAAGAGAAAGGTGGAACACTTAACATTGGAAAATATATAGAATATAATCTGTTTCTAGGCTTGAAAATTTTACCTTTCACTCTTACCAAACCCAAAACGTGCACCAAAATAGAATGCAACAGAAAGCAACCATGAATCACTGTGAACAGCAACAAGTGATAACCAGTCCTTCTCTTGCATCCCATCCCTAGCAAAGTTTATACCTAATGCTGGTTCAGGAATTTCTGGAGGCACCTCCTCAACAGGCACGTTGACTTCCCATGTCTCATTTGGCAGCCCATACAGACACAGGTTCTCCTTCTCTGCAAGAACAACAGTATCTTCAAAAACAAGAAGCAAAACCATCTCCAAATGATGCCTTTCACAACAACATAAGTCCTCTAGAATGGTAAGACATCGAATATATTCACCAGCAACACAAAATACTTCATCTATGTCTTCCTCCTATCAGATGTTATCATCAGCAAAACTTCTGCTGTTCCCAAATAAACGATGGAACATTGACAAAACAGAAATTTCTCCAGAAGCAACAGAAGGTTAAAGTCAATAACCCCACCCTGTTTCTGGATAATTGCAATAAAAGTAACATGGGTTGAAATAGATTAAGTCCAGACATCTTCAATTTTTGGCAAGGTAATGGAAAAGAAACAGGTACTGAGTCGGCACTCAAGCTTTTTGACTATTATAATCATGGAATTATAGTTATTTTACAACTCAAAAAGGTGAACAAGTTAGAAGTGGCAAGGATGATACAATACTAGACATAGTGATACATGCCAAACAGATGCCACAGAATACCGAAGAACCATTTCAGTAACCTAATCTTTGTGGGTGAAGACAACATCACATATACAGAATGGATTACCATTATATCTACAGAATTAGAACTGTAAACATTGATCAAAGGCAAGAAAAGAAAGAGAGAAGAAGAGAAAGAAGTAAAATATATTAAGGCTAATTTTCTGTAATACAACTTAACCTAGAATACACAATGTAGGCCCTTATATAGTAGAGCAACAAAGCAAAGTAAATTTTTAAACTATCCATAATATAAATACTATAACAAGAACATTGGAAAGATGGTCCACCTTTAGGTAGCAAAGCAAATCGTCTCTCTATTTCTTTTTCTCTTAAAACTTACACAAGGCCTCCTAGGTGTGATACCAAGTAATAATTAAAATTGCAAGCATGGAAACATTCAACCAAAAGTAATTAAATATTCTGTTATATTATAGTACACACACAAATGCACAATATTGCGGCCTTCTAGAGTTTAGATCATAATTATCAGAACTGAACCGGGTATTGAATCGTACGACGGACCAGGTCAATGGTTCATTGTATCAAGTGTTAGCTCAACTGGTTGTATAAAAAAATTATAAAATATAATAATTTAGCTAAAAAAATAAAGCAATACACATGCCAAAGTTGATAACATATTGGCATTTGAAAGGCATATTCCAAAGAACCAAAGTTCCAAACCAAAAGTAGTAAGACTCCGCAAAGGAGGGAAAAAAAAATCACTTAACCCATTTATTTTCAGCTGATTACCATTGCCCTCTTAAGTCTTACGAAAGATGTGGCGGATGAAGCAGAAATCTTCAAGGAAACATTAATGTGCGGAGGGAATAAGTTGAGGATGGAGATAGAGAAGATCTGAAGGGATGATTGAAGCTCTCACAGCCTCTCCAGTGGTATTCTTCCAGCTCTTGGAGCCCATAGCAACCGTAAAGTCAAGTTTGTCGCTTCATTATCTCCCCATTTGATACTCGTAACAGTTCTCTCTTTCTCTCTCTCAAGGCATATTCTTTATAAAATTTGAATCGGCCTGTTCTGAAAACCTGTCCGGTTCTATGGTTCACAGGCAGTTTAATTACACATACGGTCTAATTAATAAACTGGACCGTTTTAAGCCTGATTCACCGGTTTGAATGGCTGATGCGGTCCGGTTTTAATTACACTGGTTTAGATCGCATCCAAAATTTGCCAATTTACACACATCTGCCTTTATACCGTGCTTATACCAATTACAAGAGTCAGTATAAGGCATTTGCAAAAGTTGATGGAAATGCATACAAGTCAATGAAACCTTTTGGGCGTCACATTGAGCCCGTTTTTGAAAGCCAGCAAAATGAATCTGCCGTTTAGATAGAAACTTATTTACTTAACTAAGCATTTGAAAAGATGATTAGCCATTTTTATCTGAAAAAATCAAATTTCGATCGGGGGTTGACTAAACTGTTTCAAAACATTTCATTAAGCAATATACAGAAAGCAACACAATAAAAAACCATTAACAATAGAGTGAAATACAACAAGACTGGAAGGCAAGCACGGCAACTGTAGGTCAAGAAAGGCTGCACAGACACTCACAGCGCCTCCTCCCTCCCCCCACACTTTTCATTTTCCCCCGGCACAGAGAGATAAACACCCAGATTCACTACTGAGCCCGCAATATTGGATATTACCACGCCAAGCAATGAAAAAATGTTAAATAGAAATTTAAAGAGAAAAATGATTATTAAACATAATAACTTAACAACCCAAAGCGTAAGTAGTATCCTACATAGCGACAATGAATCATCAGATGTAAACAGACGATACATACAAATAAGAACCGTGATAATAAGGTACCATAAAAACATCTCACCAGGGTCGCACAGCTGATAAAACTTCTCCACTTCTGCAATAAACCCACAATGATGCACATTAGAATCACCAAACCTCCATAATCAAAAACCCAGAATAGACAAAAGAAAACCCAAAAGACGAAAAGCGAAACACGCGCATAACTACACAAACACACACACAACTTATATACATGTACAAAGAAACGAACCAAGGGTGAGAGCCTTGATCAATCCAGCTCTTCTGCCTTTGAAGTCAGTGAACACCTCCTCAACAGTTCTCGGTATCGGTTGTGGTATTCCCTCCATTCTCTATATCTTCCCTTCTCTTCTCCTTTCTTCTCAGGTATAAGCGCACTATTAAATATAAAGACGATTTGAAGAAAAAAAAGGCCTACAAATCAAATGCTGGTCATACAGAATTGAGGGAGAATTGGATAAATTAGGGTTTAGGGAAAGCTAGGGTTTCTCCTTCATGATGCTCAATACGTATGGTTTCAAAGAGTAACAGACACATATGTACACATATGTATGTATTGGGAGATTTTGAGGAAGAAGATAGAGAAAATATGACAGCCTAAGGACTGAAAGAGAAGAATGAGAGGAAACAGCGGGAAGGGGAATAACAACAACAACAAGGTTTTTATGTCATTTTCGCTAATTTTGGGGGTACAAGCGTTTTTGTCCTTAAATTCTCCTTGTTAATAATATATGTAAATTACAATAACTCCCCCATTGGAGTGCGTAGCAATTTCAGGTCCATCCATTAGGGTTTTTAAAATTGCAGGGACACCTATCAGGGTTTTCGAAATTATACCCCCCCCCCCTGTTAGAGTTGTCGGCATTAACGGAGCATGTGCATGGACCATTTTTGCCCATGCATATTAGAGCTATTTCCATGGAAGAATCTTTTATTCATTTCTCCTATTCTATTTTTTTCTCTCCAACGGTAACCCAAGAAACCACCACATTCATGGGGATTTAAGTGTTTTTTGATGCCTAAAATGTAAGCTAGAGGATCAAAATTCCCTAAAATTTTTGGGATTTCATTTTCAATATATAAAATCACGACAATGAGTTCGAACATCACTAACTCTTTTTTTGAGGTCGTCTGATAAGAAAAACTACTTTGACTACTAGTTGGATAGTGATTGAAAGATTTCATTTCTCTAATATACCATCGAAATTTATACTCACAAACCATTGTTCGTCTATCGAGCTTGTAATTCCTTTTTTTTTCCACTAAATTACTCTCCGCAATCCCTCCATTCAATTCTAAAGCTGGAGGGTTTGTGTTCGAGTTCAAGGGTCTTAGGTTGTATGTCACATGCACGAGAAAAAGAAAGAGAGTCTGAGACAACGGAGGGTAGAGTGGGTGGGAGATAGGGTACGTGGATATTGGTGGTGGGAGTGACTATGTATAAGGGGTATTTTATAGCAATGAATATAATGGCATAGTTCACTTTTCTCAGCATGGTTGGTTATTTCCATTCTGTTGGGGGTTTTAGCATAATTTAAAAAGTCCAAGAGAGTATCCTTGAAGTTATTAATGTAGTTTGTGGTATTCCAAATATAATAAAATCACTTATTGAAATTTTTGATATTGTGTAACTTAAATAAAACAGTAATAGTCAAGTACGAAACAGTTACACAGAATGTAGAAACAGTTATAGAATAATTAATGAAACAGTTATAACAGTGTTACTGAAACAGTTACACGCAACCGTTTGTTTAAACAATATAAATACTAACCCATTTGCATAACAGGAATTGTTATTGAACTTTTAGTAAATCAAGACTAGTATTTGACACTATATTCTTAAGACAGATTTCGCCCCTACACACGGTGCTTATGGAATATCAAGCATCTGCCTCCTAGAATGCAATGATCTTTACACGAGTAAAAGTAGCACTCCAATCTATTCATCCAACGAACCAGAAATCGTGTTGTGTACTCTCAAAATACAGACTGTCTTAATAATGTATGAGACTGCCTTAAATGATTACGAATATATTGGATTCAAAATGATTAAGTGACTGAGTTATTTATATAGAGAATGGTGACTGTCCGAATCAGTCACCATTTGAATGGATGTAATCTAGTAGACACATGCAACAACTATAAGACACCACTTGTGTAACTGTTCTCCATGGGTAGACGCAACTCTGATTTCGTACTGGAGGGAAGTAAAAATCCAAACCAGTGCGATCTAACGGATACCAAAATTAAATTTCGGATTAAGAAATTCATGCCCAATTAATTAAATGAATTTTCTTCAAAAAATATAGGGCTTAGTCTAAACCACACTCCGTACCCGTATCCATACCCGAGCCTGGCCGGGTCGTGGCTGGCTGGCGGGCAGTGTGCGTGTGTGTGGTCGAACCAAAAATATGTAAGTGCTCGCTCTGCTCATAAAATTGTGGTACCCCTTGGAGTCCAATCCCATAGAGCAAACTTGATCTATATATGTCCATGTTAAATTTTTTCCTCAATCAATGTAGGATTGATGTCAAATCCCATACTGCAAAACCCTTATTTTCCCGTTTAAAGAGTCACTTTGGAACTTACATTCTCATTCATTTCTTACTCGATTTGAGTAAGTAAATATACTATATTATTCTCCTCACGGAGTAGAATATGAATCCACAAAATTTTATTCCAAACAATGAACAGGTCCCACTTTAATTTAGACTCAAAGTCAATCAAAAAATTATTTTTTACACTTAAAAAACTAATTTGGTCCAACAATTAAAACCCTAATGGGTGTGTCATTGCAATTTATCCTACCATAGTAAAGTGTTTGTGGGGCAACGACAAGTTTTTTTTTTGATTCACACCTAACCACTTACTCTAACAGAATAAGAGTCAAGTGGAAACTTATAGACACACTCACACACCCAAAGCTACCCGATGTGGGATAGTCCAGTCTTCCATTCCCCCGGTATATTTACTATGACTGTAGGGCACTAACGGCCCAAAGAGAGGGTTTCTAGCCCACCACCGAGCTCCCCATATAGACACGAAAGAGACAACAAGTTGGCTAGACATTTGTATCTTCCAAGCTAAAAAACAAAAACAAAAAAAAATAAAAAATAAAAAGTCAAACAGAAAATCCGATTTCCACATTTGTCTTTTTTTACCTCTATAATGCCTATAGTTGGAATTAACTATTTTGGGCAAATTATACTTAGGTCCTTCACATTATGTTCCTCATTCACATTATCCCCTAAACTATTTATTTTCTCACATTATATCTTAAACTATTGCTTTGAATTTCACATTAACTCAATTGTCGACATTTATCCTATTTTTGACTGCAATTTAAGGCCAAAATGGGACTTCACAATATTAGGAGATTTGGTATTTCCCTTCCTAATTTGGCAAAATTTTAGTTGAAGGAGAAACTCAAATCAATAGTTTATGACGAAATGTGTGCGAGAGGATAACTTTAGGGATAATATACAATGAGGGGTATAATTTAAGGATTTTGTCTACACTTTTCTTTTTCTTTTTGCAGGATATGTTATTTTGTGTCTCTCTCATTCTTTGACAACTTCATCACGTTTATGATCAAACTACTTGTTTGATCACAATATAATATTTTTTTATTTTTTTTGGTTAATATCACTTTTGGTCCCTAAAATATGGATTTTTTGTTAGTTTAGTACTAATTATATCAATTTTGTCAATTTGGTTATTAAAATATTAATTCGTGTCATTTTTGGTCTCCACATATACGGACAGTTAAGTTTTTTTAACAGAAGTGGTCACATGTCTTTTTTTAAACGGTATCACATGCTCAACACGTAATCATTGTGCTAAAAATTTAATTGTTTATTTATGTGGGGATCAAAATGATATGAATTGAATACTTTAGGGACTAAATTAATAAAATTGATACATTGAGGACTAAACTGACAAAAAATACATATTTAGGAACCAAAATGTTATTAACTTTTTTTCTTTTTTTGGGGGAGAAATGGCAAACCCAACTCCTGCTTCCCATTTAATGAAGGCTCCCTCATCGTCTCGAGCTACAATTGCATAACCTCCATGCTTGCTCCTCTCTATGAATGCTCCATCGCAGTGAAGCTTAACCCATTGTTGCAGAGGGGGTTTCTACTTTCCAACTTCAGCCGAGCTATGCTGTCTTGTTATGCCAGTTCTAAAAAGATGGAACTCCTTCATTGCCATTATAGCTTGATTCAGAATTTTCTTACTCTAGGGTTACCGATGGTTATACACCCAATCCCCATAACTAGATGTTTTGTAGTCCTTTAAATCTGGTAGAATTTCCATTAGCCAAACCTCAATTCTATTTACCTTGTATCTGTTAATAGTGATTTGCAAAGGTGAGGATTCCCACACTAGAGTTATCCAAGGGCACAAGATCATCATAAGGTGCTCAATGGTTTCTTCTTCTTCTCCTTAGATAGGACATAAGGGTGTGCTAGACATTTTTGTCCTCCACAAGTTCCATTTAGTAGTGATGGGACATTCCTGAGGAGGGATGAGATCCTGACACGTGTCTTCAGTCTTGAGGCACCTTCACCAATCTTGATGATGACACATGTCCTCAGCATCGAAGCACCATCAAATCCTGATTATGACACGTGTCCTCTGCACCTTCAACCTTATGATTATGACGCGTGTCCTCGGCACCGAGGACCCCCATATTCTCTAGAGGTGACACGTGTCCTTGACAACTAGGACATGTGTCCTCAATGTCCAGAAAACCCCAGGCTCTTGTTTTTTATTTCCCCTGCGTGGTTCGGTCCTGAGAACCCTTATTGGACACGTCATCTCGGCTCCAGCGTGGGTTATTGAAGGCTACATCCTATCACTCTCAGAGTTTGACAGAAAATCATTGGCTTGTCTTCTTCAATGAGACAAGAATGACATAATGAACAAGACATCCAACCAAGGGGAGTTAGACACGTGGCATAAAGTATAGGATGAAGGGTAAATAGACAAAAATATCCCTGCTAATATTCGGCAATCTCAGACAAACATTTAATGAACCCTCAGTTTATGAGACATTCACGATGGCTTGGGAAGCTAAGAAGAAGGATCATTAAATACTCCAGGACCTGGACATTTAATACATCTACATTAAAAAAAGATCATTAAATGCTTGGGAGCCCGAGCAATTAATAACGGGGTCTCTCCCATGCAAAATAAGAGTAGCACTGTCCCATGTCTGGGCACTGTCTACTATCTAAACCATTACTAATGATGAGTCTTTGGAGATATAAATAGCTCCCAAAAATGTAAGGCAAGGGTACGCAAATTCATTTCTCAATAACACCAAATAGTTTCTTTCCCTATCTCAAAGAACTGACTTGATCGTCGGAGGGGATAAACTAAAAAATACTCTGGCGCCCTTCTAACCACTTTTTTGTGTGCTAGGAACAGCCAGTGACCCGCCAGAATCGATAAAAAAGCCTCTAAAGTAATTCATCACCACTCCTTAGGCCCCTTTGGCCATCTTGGTTCTTCCTTTGTCACGGGATCGTCGACTTTCGAGACAAACACGAGTTCATCATGGGAGAGATCCATCTTTTTCATCTATTGTGCGAAAATCAACGCGCACAAGTAGCAAGAACTATATTAACCATCTTCCAAATAAATAATTTTACTTTTT